ACCTTCCATACCCCCATACTGCTTCACCTCCCCCCCATACTGCCTTAGCTTCCCCCCACACTGCCTCACTTCCCCCCACACTGCCTCACATACCCCCCCATACCAGCTAATCTTCCCTTCACACTGCCTCCCCCCCCCCCCCCCACACACACACTTCCCCCTCACACCTCCTCACCTACCCCCCATACTGCCTCACCTACCCCCCATACTGCCTCAGCTCCCCCCCACACCACCTCACCTCCCCCCCCATACCACTCACCTCACCTACCCACCCATACTGCCTCACCTCCCCATACACCACCTCACCTCCCCCCAACACCTCCTCGGCTTCCCCCAACATTGCCTCACCTCCCCCCCCCCCACACAGCTTCACCTACCCCCCCATACTGCCTCAGCTTCCCCCCACTGCTTCACCTTCCCCCTGCACCGCCTCACCAACCCCGAATACTGCCTAACCTATCCCCCATACTGCCTCAGCTTCCCCCCACACACCCTAACCTTCCCCCATACTGCCTCACCTTCCCCCCACACTGCCTCATCTCCTTCCCACACTGCCTCACATACCTCCCATACCACCTCAGCTTCCCCCCACACCACCTCACCTCCCCCCCACACTGCCGCACATACCTCCCATACCGCCTCAGCTTCCCCCCACACCGCCTCACCCCGCACACACACCGCCTTACCTACCCCCCATACTGCCTCACCCACCCCGCATACCACCATACCTACCCTCCATACTGCCAAACCGACCACCCATACTACCTCACCCACCCCGCATACCGCCTCACCTACCCTCCATACTGCCTACCCTACCCCCCATGCTGCCTTACCCACCCCTCATACTGCCTTACCTCCCTCTTATACCCCCTCACCCTCTCTTTTTAAGGTATAGCACCTCCCTCCATCACTTCCTAATCACTGCACCTCCCTATCACCCACCTTACCCCCCAGGTTACAGCAACACCCACCCATCTCCCCTCATTTCACCCCCCCACACCCACCTAAACCTGCCACCCCAAACAAAGCAACTTGCACATGCCTCATTCTTCCATGCTTGTCATACTGGAAATGTATGTCTTCTGACCCAAATGGAAACAATGCACTCCCTATGTGGTTGGCATCTTCTTTCATTTGTTGCTACAGTGGTACTCTTGCCTAGCCATACCTATTCTCATAACTGTCAGATCTCTAAACCCTACAGCAGCCAGCAATAATAGACCCCCTCCCTCAACAGTAGTTATTTCCCAGCAAGCAATGACCCCCAGAAACATAAGACCCCCCTAGCAACAACAGATCTCCCACCAGCAACAATAGGCTCCCCACTCAAAAATAGATACCCTCCAGCAACAATAGATCACCTAGCAACGAGCATCAATAGATCCTCCAGCACACCCTTGCCACTACATACATCCAGTGCTGAAGGTGCCAGAACTGCGTTCCCCCATGTTCCCACTTCAAAAAAGCCCTGGCTTTAAGTACACTCAAATTGATGCCTATAATGCTTTTTCATTCTGGGGAAATGCTGGAGCTCAGTGGTCAGGTCAGGTCAAACATTTATCTATTTCTTATAAATATAGCCAGCTTCTTTAGCTCTATCACAGTTAAACTGCAGTTTACTCAAAAACAATTGTCAGTTTGCAGCAGCTGAAAGACATAGAGAGGAATAGGAGACAAATGAATTGTCAGTTACTGCCACATGGAAGAGGTTTTGTGATTTCACATCAAGTGCCACTTGGAATGGGTCGTGTTAGCTCATCAGTTACCACTAGGACTCCTCGTTCTGCTCTGTGAAAAGCTACTTTTACACTGATCTGTCGCAAAACACATATGCGTTTTTACTGCGCTTTCTGTGTGTTTTTAACCACTTCCAGACCGGACACTTTTACCCCCTTCCTGACCAGGGCAATTTTCAGCTTTCAACGCTATCACACTTTGAATGACAATTGCGCGGTCATGCAACACTGTACCCAAATTAATTTTTTACCATTTTTTTGACACAGATAAAGCTTTATTTTGGTGGTATTTATTCACTGCTGGGATTTTTATTTTTTTTGCTATCTAAATGAAAAAGTCCAAAAATTTTGAAAAAAAGTGTTTTTTTTTATAAAATTTTGCAAATAAATAATATTTCATCATAAATCTTTGCCAAAATTTATTCCGTTATCTTTTTAGTAAAAAAAAAATCCAAATTAGTTTATAACCAAAAATTATAATTTTTAAGCATTTTTTTTTTACATTTTTATTTTATTTTTTTTTATTATTATTTTTTTTTTTTTTTACATACTGTCACCCTAGCAGTACACTGTACTACTTGTGGGGGGTGATGAAGATTTTTTTTTTTTTACACTGCTTTTACACCCATATAGGATGTAAAAGCAATCATTTCTCTTTCTCTCTGTCTGCATTCTTGCTCTCATTGAGAAGTACTGAGTGAGCTGTGATTGGTCACAGCTTGTCACATGGTACAAGGCTGTTGTGAATAGCCTTGTACCATGTGACCTCTGTGATCATTCACAGATTTCACACGTAGTAAGCAATGATGTCACAAGTGACATCTTGCTTACTACTTTGCATGTGATCACTGATTGGCTAATCAGTGATCACATGATCGGGACCTTGTACAGAGGTCCCGTCCGACGATCGGTGTTTCACTGTATCCGGAGGGACACAGCGGGCACCGGATCGCGGTGCTGCCTGTTCCCAGGGAGCGCGCACAAGCAGGGAGCGGGGAGGCCGTTTATAAACGGTCACCCGACCCTGCACTGCCACCGTCTGGCCGTTTATATGCAACGGCCGGTCAGGAAGTGGTTAAGGGACATGTGACGGAGGCATTTTCCATTGATTTCAATGGGAAGAAGCGTATTTGGGGAGTTTTTTTTTTTTACTGAACATACATGCTCCAAACATGCTGCAAGCAGGAGTTTTTACAGCACAACGCCCTAGTGTGAAAACATCCCTAGACATATATAGGGAAACATTTGTCTTGAGCTGTTCAGGTGCTTTTTTTAACATAAAAGCGCTTTGAAAACTCCTCGATGTGAAAGTAGCCTTAGCTGTTCCATCAGTCAGATGACCTGGTGGAGGTAACTGTGGGATGTATCAGGACTGCATGCTGGCTGAATGTATACTCTGGCTGTGCTTTAACCACTTCCAGTCCGGACACTTTCACCCCCTTCCTGCCCAGAGCAATTTTCAGCTTTCAGCGCTCTCACACTTTAAATGACAATTGCACGGTCATGCAACACTGCACCCATATGAATTGTTTAGCATTTTTTGAAACAGATAAAGCTTTATTTTGGTGGTATTTATTCACCACTGGGATTTTTATTTTTTTTGCTATATAAATGAAAAAGTCCAAAATTTTAGAAAAAAAGTTTTTCTTATAAAATTTTGCCAATAAATAATATTTTAAAATTTATTTGGTTATCTTTTTAGTAAAAAAAATAACCCAAATTATTTTAGAATCAAAAATTATAATTTTTTCAAAAAAAAGTATACATTTTTATTTTTTTTTTTTATATTATTATTTGGTTTTTTTTTTTTTATTACATACTGTCACCCTAGCAGTACAGTGTCACCATGGTGACACTGAACTACTTGTGGGAGGTAATGAAGATTTTTTTTTTTTTTTTACATTGTTTACTTTTAAACCCATAAAGGCTGTAAAATCAATAATTTCTCCTTCTCTCTGGCTGCATTCTTGCAGCCATTGGGAAATACTATGTGAGCTGTGATTGGTCACAGCTTGTCACACGGTACAAGGCTGTTGTGAATAGCCTTGTACCATGTTACCTCTGGGATCATTCACAGATTTCACAGGTAGTAAGCAATGATGTCAGAAGTGACATCTTGCTTACTACTCTGCATGTGATCACTGATTGGCCAATCAGTGATCACTTGATCGGGACCTCGCACAGAGGTCCCGTACAACGATCGTTGTTCCACTGTGTCCTGTCCCAGGGAGCGTGCACAAGCAGGGGGCGGGGAGGCCGTTTATAAACGTCCACCTGCCCCTGCACTGCCACCGGCTGGACGGGAGGTGGTTAAAGAGAACCTGAACCCATGAGGCTGTTCCCCCTAAGTCCTCATGCACACGGGGTGCTTTGATAACACTGGTAACATTAGCTATGTAAAGTCACGTTAAAATTGTGAGTTTTCAGCTTTTTTTAGCACTTTTGCATTAGCATTTAGACGCGATTAGTGGCATTTTCCCACGTTTTTTCATGTTTGCATTTTTTAGCCAAAAAAAAAATTTATTTTTTCAAAAAAGTCCAAAATTGCCAGTTTGCGTTTTACCGCGTTTTGCAAAGTTTTTCAGCACTAAAGCATTTTTACAGCTAAAAATCTCCAATAGAAACACACTAGTCCTGGGGTTTTTTTGCCAGCCAAAAAAACGTCCCTGCCATAAAACATTGATTACAGTCTATGTGTGCATGGACACAAAGGATAACATGCTGGGGAGTTTACTGACTGTAGGAAAAAAAAACATCAAAAACCACAAACAGCCTCTGTAAAAACGTCAAGTGTGCATGAGGACTAAAAAGGCAGATATAGAGCAAAGGCTAGTAATCAGTATTGCCTGAGGCCTCCCTGCAGCTGATCTCCCCGCATTACTAAATTGCAATGTTCTGCACTGCACTGTGTATGTTGGCACCAGAGGGGCTATTTAAACTGAGGCAGTGCTCAGGTTCAGTGTCCCCCTCTTATCTCCTGATAAGACATATTGTGTGGAGTCACTCTGCACATGTTCAGTTTGGTGTGTATTGCTAGAGAAGTTGTTTTTTTTTCTTGCGAGAGTGCATGTGATCAGCACAGGGCCAATCAGCACTATCCAGACATAGGTCAGGGGTTCTGCATCCTCCCAGAGCAGAAAGAAAACATCTACAAGTTTTAACCAGTGCTCGGCTGGACACTGATAGAAGTCACAAGACTGCTCTAACCGCTGATGAGAAAAAGGTATTTAGCAGTTTTATATTTGCTAAAATAATTGCACTTTCATGTTCTGTATGCTGTGGGAGATCAGATATAGTGAATGCAGGGTCCAGGGAGACCAGATATAGTGAATGTAGGGTCCAGGGAGACCTGATATAGTGAATGTAGGGTCCAGGGAGACCGGATATAGTGAATGCAGGGTCCGGGGAGACCAGATATAGTGAATGCAGGGTCCGGGGAGACCGGATATAGTGAATGCAGGGTCCGGGGAGACCAGATATAGTGAATGCAGGGTCCGGGGAGACCAGATATAGTGAATGCAGGGTCCGGGGAGACCAGATATAGTGAATGCAGGATCTGGGGAGACCAGATATAGTGAATGCGGGGTCCGGGGAGACCAGATATAGTGAATGCAGGATCTGGGGAGACCAGATATAGTGAATGCGGGGTCTGGGGAGACCAGATATAGTGAATGCAGGGTCCTGGGAGACCAGATATAGTGAATGCAGGGTCCTGGGAGACCAGATATAGTGAATGCAGGGTCCGGGGAGACCAGATATAGTGAATGCAGGGTCCGGGGAGACCAGATATAGTGAATGCAGGGTCCTGGGTTTAGTAACACTTTATTGTACAAATAAACCTAAAAAGTAAGCCCCAAAGAAAGGGGGGGGGTTGAAATGTTGGCTGTATCTGGTTCTCTTAACCATTAAAAAGTCCTTTATGTGAGATACATTTTTGTACCAGGCCCTCTTCCATACACATCCAATAATTTACCATCTGGCAAGTGCTCCATTTGTTGCTATCAGAGAGGTAGCAGGCTACAACCAGAACAGAGTCCACTCCAAATATATTTCAATCACGGATCTGCTTCTTTGAAGGAAAAATCACTTTACAGCAGATCCATTGGGATCAATTTTCAATTCTGTCAGTCCAGTGATTTCACATTCACATCAGGCATCTGGGTGGTGGTGGCCATCTTGGTAAAGGCAGTGTTTTGCTTCCTCATCACAGAGCTTCCAGCAAGGAGAACAGGGAGGAGCACAGCAGTGACATCACCAAATCTCATTCTAAATTCCCTGAGACTAGCAGTCAGAGGCAGCAGTGCCTGAGGTCTCGCTCTGCAGATCTACAGCTTTGAGGTTGTAGGCAGCCTCACACACCAGGAAATACACTGCTATTCTTCAGGAGAAGATCAAGACAAAGTTACTTTCACCAGGGTACAGTTAGTTATAATTAATGAGTCTCTAAATATCCTCTATGGCACAGAGAACTTTCACTTTTTTTGAGTTATGGTCAACTTTAAGAATTCAGAAGCGACACATTTCAACAGTAAATCTCACTTTCCGTTAGGTCCGAGTTTTTATTTCAAAAGCAAGTGCAAAATATGTCACATTAGTTTATGACAGTTTCACTAAATCTAATGCAAAATGAAAGTGATGACAAGTTTCATGTTGGACCGGGACCAGTACTCTAAATGTGTCCCAGCTGCAGCCAGGCCAAGCTATCCTGCATGCACCAATAAAATCATCTATTTATCCCCACTCAGCTACATTATTTCTGGGCACCTCTTGCTGGATTTGTACTTTTCATCCCCAAACCAGACTCATTTTGAATCTCCTCTGCCAGAATGAACATCTGCTATGTGTCTATTGAGCCAGGTCCAGCGCTTTGGCAGCTCCTACCTGAGCCATGGGAAAATCGCATCCTCGCTCTCTCCCTCCAGAGCCGAATGTCACGCACGAGTCATCTTGCTATTGTTAGGAGAAATATTCACCACGTAGACAGAAATGTTGCTGAGGACAAGGACAGGTCAATGTGTAGCTATCTCTTGGGCCTGCATTCAACCATGGAACAATCTTGTCATTCATTCATGGGACAATCATTTCACTAATTCTCCTTTTTTTTTTTTATTGCAGGTTAATTCAGATACAAATATAGCCCAGTGTCTAATGATAAGATTGGGAACATTGCTTAGCAAACGGCTTTGTCGAATGTTTTGCTGCCATGTGCTGAGGCAGAGGAGAAAAAATGGCCTTCATTTGCAAGAATTTCATTTCATTTGCTTGGGATTTGGTTTGCACATTGAGGATAATTTACTCACATCGCTTGGAGGTGTAAACACATGTAAGCCTCTTCCAACCAATCAGGCATCTGTCTCTCACTTTTTCTATAACTTTTTTTTTTTCAGAGACAAAACCTGAATGCTGATTAGCTGCTTAGGCAGGCAAAAAAGTGCTCTTCTGAGAAATGTTAAAGGACCAGTATGAGCATCTTCACCTCTGTGTATTTTTCTGAGCAAAAATGCCTTTACATTCTTGCCCCGGTTCAGGAATAGAACAGTTAGCACAGCGTGTCCCTAAAATCCATCTACATTCAATGAGGGACAGGACCTTGTCCTCCCAGAATTTTTTCCTTTACATCACATCAATATTATCATCTTGATCTGAGAAAGTAACAATTTAAAGCCACAAAACGCAATTTATTTGGCAAACTAAAGAAATAAATTTTTTAATAAAGCAGAAAACTCGTGCCTATTCTTAGAAAACCAATTTAGGCACCTCTGCCAATTGGACTACCAATGGGCTTTTTGCGCTGATTCCTCTTATCAATTCATCTACCCAGCTGAGAACCCCACATAGTACCCAGGATGGGAACCCCTGAGGCAAAGAAAGCAATCACATTGACCCTGCTTAGAGATAGGTTTTCTCCACCTGTGCACTTGGAAGGTCACATGTTATCCACTCTGCTGGTTGACTGCAGCCTCAACAAATGTATGTCTACTTTGATCTTTTTTCCTCTTACTGTAGAACTACTCTCCATAGTTTTTATCCCCCTTTTTTTCTTGAAGTATTTGACTCTCTTTCTGAATTAATCTCCTACACTATAAGGGCTCTCCCACCTCCCGATCTTGTTTTTTAGCGGACATTCTGAGCTTTACCAGAGACCCCTGGCCTGCTCTTCATGATTCTTTTGTCAGCATTCAACCACCACACCCTAGACTTCAGGGCCTTCTCTGGAATTCTCTTCCCAAGAACATCAGAGAGTCACTTTCTCAAAGGCACTGTCTTCTGGTAAGCTGCCCACTTTTTGATGCAGGATAACTCATTGACACTAATTCTCCCCCAATCATGCTTAAAAAAAGCTTGTTGCTGTAATAAACTGTCTATGGGTTCCTTAAAACTGGATCTATTTGAAAATCGATAGCCAGTACCTAGCTTGATCTTCACTTTATTTGACACACACCCCCATAAGGCACTGCAGTACAACTTATGAGGCAGTATTCTTATGCTGGCCATACAATACTGTAATTTATAATGTTGGTTTTCGAAACCTTTGTCCAATTTTCTAATAGTTAGTGAGGTCACTTCGATATTCGTTTATGACTGTAGTGAATTACATTTTTTTCTTGAATGAAGTAAATTCTGTGAATGTGGGTTTTGTTCAGGAAAATCATACATAATATAATGTGCATGTTCTAGACACAAAATACATTTGTTTAATGCGCCTATTCATGTAGCAAGTCTAAATGAAATGTTAAGGGCTTTCAAGCAAATTGAGCTGACACTTTGGCAAGACCAAATGCTTTCATGATCACTTTATCAAAATTTCTGTACGAACATTCAAATCCAGGGAAGTTTTCAACCAGCATGATTTTCTTATTTTGTACTTAACAAAACTTAAATACCCGCGCTACAGTGACAAATCATATACAATAAAAAAAAAATCATATATACTGTGAAAAAATATATAAAAAATTAGTATTATGTATAATGCTGCTGTTCATAAAGTGAAAAACACCTTAAATAATAAATAATCAATAATACAGTGCAAACAATAATTTTAAATGTGAAAAAATCCAAAGTCCCAACAAACAGTGCTTCAGTGAAAAAATATTCTGTTATATCCAAACCGGAAGTGTTCTGTAAATGGTGTCACCCCACAGTGCTTCACAATCACCACCTAAAACACTCCACACTCACCAGATTCATTGGACTCCTAGCTTGTATGGCATAAGAGTCAAAAAGGCTTAAACTGGTGAAGTGTGTTCTCAGGTATAGCCGGGACTCAGATAAACACCAGATTCCATATACTTCTCATATCCCATATACTGGGATTTATCTATCTGAATCCTGGCTATACCTGAGAACACAATTCACCAGTTTAAGCCTTTTTGACTCTTATGCCATACGAGCTAGGAGTCTAATGAATCTAGTGAGTGTGGAGTGTATTAGGTGGTGATTGTGAAGCGCTGTGGGGTGACACCATTTACAGAACACTTCCGGTTTGGATATAACAGAATATTTTTTCACTGAAGCACTGTTTGGGACTTTTGATTTTTTTACTTTTAAAATTATTGTTTTTGATGTATAAATGATTATTTATATTGTGTACCTGTCTTATCTTATGTATAGTGGAATGTGACATTGTGAAGCCATAGGCATACCTAAATAAATATGTGTGCAGACTCTGCCCACTTTGCAATATAAAAGGGTGTTACAAAAACTAAAATTAATTGCTAATCAAACCAAAAAACAAGAGAAAGGGGTGATATCTGCATGTTGCCTGAGCTACAGAGAGCCTCATGACTCTTAACTTCCTTTCCAAATTATTTTGCATATTTTACTTACAAGTGTTGAGAGGCGGTTAGACAAAGGACAAAAAATACATAAAGGTACTGCAAAATTTGTATCTTCCCCTTTGATGTTGCCTCTCCTAACCTGCCACCCAATGTGATGTGCCAGGAGTTTGTTGCATTAAATATGGCCCAGGTTCAATTAAAAATCTTCCATAGGGCATACTTTGCTCCCCATAGGCTTCATAAATCAAACCCGGCTCTGCCCTCTACATGTTGATGGTGCCACCTAACAGATAGGGACTTCCTTCATATCTTCTGGACCTGTCCCCTCATATCACAGTTCTGGGTGAAGGTGGTAGAAGAGATTCACAACACAGTCTTGTCCCATATCACTCTAGAACCCAAGCTGTGCATGCCTTTTGGACCTTGTAGAACCCATGGCACCCAAAACTGCTGAGAGAACTTTATTGGGCCTCTTACTTTGCAGGAAGTCGATCATGATGCATTGGAAAAAAGCTACTGCCCCTACCATTACTTTTTGGAAGCATGTAGTTAACTCCAATCTTCCCTTATTCCATGATACTTTTGAGAACAGAGGCAGGAAGCAAAAGTTCCACAAGATTTGGGCCAACTGGCTATAAGATCCCACCATGGCTGTTGATACAAACTTCTAAAACCCTGTTCAGGATTTAGCCTTACAGTCATTCTACTTCTGATCATCATTTCCTATAACATTTTTGCCCATGAGTAACCAACACTGAGCTTGTCCAACACTGGGCTTGTCCTGGAGTGATGCAGACTGTCACTTGAGCCAGTTTCTTTTTAGATCTTTTCTTAATTGCTGTTTGTTCAACCCAAATGTTCTTTACACAAATGGTCTCCACTGTGAGGGCTACCCACTTGAAGTTTGTACCTTCTTTTCACTTATTAAAAAAAAAAAAAAGAGAAAAAAAAACAGATTTGAAAAGGAATATAACCCAGATTGCAAAGCAACTTTTAGACATAAAAAGTATTTTTTACAATT